AAAAAATAAATAAATAAAAAACAAAATAAAAAAGCTTGGTTGAGGTATAATTTTCATACCATAAAACTCATCCATTGTGAATGTACAATTACATGATTTTGTAGTAAATTTATATTTTTCAACCAACAGCAAAGTATAATTTCAGACCATTTTCATCACTCAAAAACTTCTTTTGTGCATATTTGTAGTTAATCCCCACTTCTATATCTAGTCCTCAGTAATCACTGATCTCCTTTATATCTTGATAAATTTACCTTTTCTGGGCATTTAATACAAATATAGTTATATGATATGTACTTTTTTGCATCCAGCTGCTTTTTCTTTAGCATAAGGTTTTTGAGGGCCTACCATGTTGTAGCATAAATCCGTAATATGTTCTTTTTTATGGCTGGATAGTATTCTGTTATACAGATATACACATATGTTTATCAATTCACAAGTTGATGGGCATTTGGATAGTTGTCAGCTTTTGGCTGTTATGAGTAATTCAGCTATGAACACTACATACATGTCTTTGTGTGGACATTTATTGTTATTTTTCTTGAATAGATTTGTAAGAGAAGATTTTTACCCTTGTCATGTGGCAAGTTTCTGTTTAACTTTTCAGAAAGTTGGCAAACTGTTCTTCAAAGTGGCTGTACTTTTACATTCCCTCCAACAATGTGCAGTAGTCCCCCCCTTATCCACGGTTTCGCTTTCCATGGTTTCAGTTACCTATGGTCCGAAAATGTTAAATGGAAAATTCCAGAAATAATTCATAAGTTTTAAATTGCGTGTCATTCTGAGTGGTGTGATGAAATCTCTCACTGTCCTGCTTTGTCCCACCCATGACAGGAAGCATCCCTTTGCCCCACATGGCCACGCTATGTACATTACCTGTTAGTCAGTAGCTGTCTAGGTGATCAGGTCAACTGTTGTGGTTTTGCAGTGCTTGTGTTCAGTGACCCTTAATTTACTTAATAATGACAAAGTAATGATGCTTGCAATTCAGATAGGCCAAAGAGAAGCCATAGAG